AGCAAGAGTATCTGTGCCAACAGGTTTGCTAAGCTAGTGAGGAGGGCTTTAAACTGGTTTCATTGGTGTGAATCAGTGGTTTCATCATAGCAACCAAACCCAGAACAGGAGTGGAGTCATGGGGACAGTGAGTATATGTCTAGGGGACAGCAAAATGGAGGAGGCTCTCACAGTTTTCAAGTGAAAGCAACATATCTGGGAGCCCATCTCGGATGCCTGTACATGAATGCACATAGCCTAGGAAGCAAACAGGAATCCGTGCATGGTTGCAGAGCTGCGATCTCACTGGGATTAGAGAGACAGGGTTGGCATGACTAGAGTGCTGGAATGGATGTATACAGGCCCTTTTAGAAAGGCAAGCTGGGAAGACAAGGAGGAAGTCGTGTGCTCTATGCAAAAGAGTGGCTTGAATGCGTGGAGCTTTGCTCTGAAATGGGTCACGACAGTTGAGAGCTCGTGGGTAAGGCACAGAGGTCAGATCAATGTGGATGATGTCATGGTGGGTGCCTGCTACGTACTGCCTGATGAAGTAGAGGAAGTAGATGGAGCCTTTTCTAGAGGGAAGCCCCATGATCTGGTTATTCATGGAGCACTTGCACTGCCCTGATACCTGCTGGCAACATGGCAGGGCATAAACAATGCAGGAGATTTCTGGAGAGCATTGAGGACAGGTTTTTGATTTGAGTGTTGGACAAGTCAGCTAGAAGTGATCTCTGCTGGACCTGCTGCGAGTCTTCAATAGCTGCCTTGGTGGAAGTGGCCATGAGATTGTGGAATTTAAGATCAAGACAGGCAAGAAGGATGAGTAGTGGAATAACAATCTTTGGTTTTAGGAAAGCAGATTTTGTCTTTTTTTATGGACCTGGTTGGCAGGATCCTGTGGGAGACAGTCATGGAGAGCAAAAGGCCTTGGGAAAGCTCATTGATCTTCAAGGAAAACCTCCTCAAAGCAGGAGGTGCTTCCTGTTAACTGAAAAAAAGCAAACCACTCATCTTCAAAAAACGCGAGCAGGATTTGGGGAACTACAGGCCAGTCAGCCTCGCCTTGCCCCCCCAGGGAAACTATGGAGCAAATGTTCACAGGAGCCATGAAAGACAGCCAAAAGGCCTTGGGAAAGCTCATTGATCTTCAAGGAAAACCTCCTCAAAGCAGGAGGTGCTTCCTGTTAACTGAAAAAAAGCAAACCACTCATCTTCAAAAAACGCGAGCAGGATTTGGGGAACTACAGGCCAGTCAGCCTCGCCTTGCCCCCCCAGGGAAACTATGGAGCAAATGTTCACAGAAGCCATGAAAGACAGTAAGGTGATGGGCGGGGGGGAGGGGGCAGAAACAGTGTGGCTTTATGAAGGGCAAATCTGGCCTGACCATCCTGATCACTGCCTTTGAGGTGACCCTGCCAATGGACAAGAGGTGAGCAGTGCATGCCACTCTCCTTAACTTTGACAAGGCTTTTTACATGGTCTGCCATAGTATCCTGGCAGCCAGTTTTGGGACATGTGGTTTGAACTGGTGGATGATGAGCTGGGTAGAAAACCGGAACATTTGGCTCAGAAAGTAGCAATCAACAGTACAAAGCTGATCTATTAACCACTTTTAGTGGCATCCCCCATGAGTCAATACAGGGGCAAAAACTGCTTAATGTCTCTTTTAACAGCTTGGACGATGGAATGAGGCGCAGTCTTTGCCAGATTGCAGATGATCTCAAATGGGGGTAGCTGGAGAGCAGAGCTGCTCTTCAGAGGGATTTAACAGGTGAGGAAATGAGCTGATATGAACCTCATGATGCTCACCAAGAGCAGATGTACAATCTGCCCTGGGATAGAGTAACCCCATGGAGCAGTACAGGCTGGGACTAGCTGGCTGGAAAGCTGTTTTGCAGAAAAGGACTTGCTGGTGAGCAGTTTGCCCTGGGACAGGGAAGACCAACCACATCCCAGGTTGTATGAACACTAGTGTAGCCAGCAAGGCTGAGGGAAGTGCATCTTCCTCTCTATTTTAAGCCTTTTGAGATGACAAGAGGAGTCCTGTTGCCAGTTTTGGGCTCCCCAGGCTGAGGAAATCATCGATGTCCCAGAGCAAGTCCAGCAGAGGGCTGCCAACGAGAGGCTGAGAGGGCTGGTTTTGCTCAGTATTAAGAAGAGAAGGCAGAGATGGTTCTTACTGTAGCCT